CAGATCACCAGAACTTATTCCTCCTGGGATTTTGTACCTTTGACTGACATCTCCCCTCTCCCTGCCAGACGCCCTCCCTTCAGCCTCTGGTAGCCAACATCCCACTCTCTACTACGAGTTCCAATTTTTACATCTCGTGTGTGAGACCATGTGATAGTTGTCTGTGTTTGGCTTATTTTTTTATTCGGCATAACGTCCGGATTCATCCACGTTGTCAAAAAATGACAGAATTTCATTCTTTTAGAAGGCTGAGTAGTATCCCGTTGTGTATATGCGGCACATGGTCTCTGTACGTTCATCTGCTGACGGGCGCTTATGTTGTTCCCATGCCTTGGCCACCGTGACCGAGACCGCAGTGACAGGGTGTGTGTGTGTGTGTGTGTGTGTGTGTGTGTGTGAGTGTGTGAGTGACGTCCGACACTGATTTCAGTTCTGCGCCCGGAAGTGGGGCTGCTGGATCACATGGTGATTGTTAATATTCTTGGTTTTCTAAAGAACCACTGTAGAGTCTTCCAAAACGGCTACGCTAATTAGCATGCCCAACAACAGTGTCCCAGGGTTCCCTTTTCTCCACACTCATGCCGACACGCACCTTTTGTTTTTCGGTCATAGCCCCTCTGACAGGTGTGGGCTGGTATCTAATTGGGGTTTGTATTTGCATTTCCCTGATGGTTAGTGATGTGGGACGTTTTTTCACGTATGTGTTGGTCTTTTGAGAAATGTCTATTCAAGTACTTTCCCCATTTTTTAATGGGGTGGTTTTCTTGTTATTGAGTAGTTTGACTTCCTTTTATATTTTGGATATAAACCCCCTTATCTGATAAATGATTTACAAATATTTTCTCCCAACCTGTGGGTTGTCTCTTCACCCTGTTTCCTTTGCTGTGCAGAAGCCTTTTAGTTTGGTGTGATCCCATCTGTCTATTTCTGATTCTGTTGCCTGTGCTTTTGGGGTCATGTGCAAGAAATCATCGTCCAGATCAATGTCACCCAACTTTTCTCCTAATAGTTTTACGGTTGAAGTCTTGCATTTAAGTCTTCAATCTACTTTGAGTTGTATGGGGGCTAAGGGGCCAATTTCATTCTTCTGCATGTGGATGGCCAGTTTTCCCATTTCTATATGAACGCTAGAATCAGCTTGTCAATTTCTACAAAAAGGGCTTTGAGGATTTTGATCAGGACTGTGTTGAATCTATAGATCAATCTGGGGAGGACTGACATCCTAACAGTATTGGGACTTCCAATCCATGGGTGGACTATTTAGCTCTTACGCTTTTTCACAAATGTTTCTGAGTAGATTTTGGTATACAGTTCTTGCACATCTTTGGCAGATTTATTCCACAGTATTTCATATCTTTTCATGCTATTATAAATGGCATTTAAAATTCTTTAAATCTGTTTCTGATAGTTCATTGCTTGTATAGAAAACACAATTTTAATAGCTCTATTGAGGTACAAATACCATGACACTCACCCTTTGCAACTGTACAACCCAATTATTGTAGTACATTTGTAAGGCTGTGCAAATATCACAATCCAATTGTAGAACATTTCAGTCGCCCCAGAAAGTTCCTTCATGCCTGATTACAGTTCATCCTGCTGAATGTGTGTGTTTACTATGATCGCTGATACTGAATTTCTAACACATTACTTTGTTTTCTTGGCTTTTAAAATAATCCTGAATTATAGCCATCAAATGTTCTTTATTCCCGTTTGATATGGAAGTTATGTGTCTATTCTATCCATGATTACCCTGAAAATTTAGCATGAATACCCAACAGTGTGTCGGTCTTTCAATTCTCTTTCCTCTCTTGCAGGGCTCTCCTTTTTCATGTTAAAACCTGGTTATAAGCCCACTGCTCTAAGGAAAGTTTGTTATGAAATAAATAAATCCAGTACTTATACACACACCAACACCACATTCTACTGCTTTTTCCTTGACATTGCTTCTTGTGACCGGCTCCCTTTGAGCTATACAGCTTCCAGTGAGGAGTCAATGTCTCATAGTTTATCTAAAAAGGAATTTATTTTGCCAGTAATCTTGAATGATAGCTTAGCTACACAGAATTCCAGCCTGAAATCAGTTTCCCTCATCATTTTGAAAATACTATTCCTCATATGTCTGCTATTGTTCTTATTATCCTAATTCTACAGTAATAATTTAAATTCAGTAGCCCTTAATGTTTACATCTGGGTATGTTTATGCCTTGTGTAGAACTGGGTTCAATTTGAAGGCTCACAGTGTTTTTAATTTCATAAATGTTTTCTGCTCTTTTTGAATTTGCCGTACTCCACTTGGTGTACGTGACCTTCTCCCATTCTTCTCTTAGTTTCCAAACTGAATTTCCCATCTATCTATGCTTCATGCTCAGATCTAGCTTCCAACTTGGTAACTTTGACCTTTCTTTAAAAGAAATTCTGCTTAGCCAGAGGATACTAGGGGAAGGGTAGGGGACAGGGAGAGATGTGTTAAAGGATACAAAATTATGGCTAGAGAGGAGGAGTAAGTCCTGGTGTTCTTCCACAGCAGTGCAGGGCGACTACAGCTAACCACGACACGTACTTTCACATAGCTGGGATGGGGACACTGACTGACGCACGCTTGCAATGATGGACATGCTCATTACCCCGATCTGATCACTACATATCACACCGTCACTCTGTGCTCCATGCATGATACTATTGTATCAGCTTGAAAACAGAAAAAATATTCTGTTTAGTTCTCTCTTTAACCTTTTAAACAGTCTTTCAGTTACTGAATTATCTGGAGTTCTTGGCAGGGGGACTAAGCCACTTGTTTGTGTCTGCTGATTTGCCCTTAATTTGCCTGATTCTTTTAAACATGGAAACTCTTTGATTGCATCTTGGAATTGGAATGGCGAGGCACTTCTGTGTCTGCTCCTCTCGGGCACCCCAGGGACTGGGGTCCACTGGCCTAGTTTTGACGTGTGTTTCTTGCATGACTTTCAGGACTCGGAGCAGGAGTCTCTCTGAAGCACCCCGCCCTTCCCTGCGTTGGTGGCTGCACTGTGGCAGGATGCAGTTAGGCCACCTTGCTTGCTGCTCCCTCCAGAGGGCAGACTCCGACCTGAAGACGACCGGTCACCACTCAGTTCCTTTCTCTGTGGCGGGGCAACAACCTGCAAGTGGTTAACTTTCTCCATCATTGTTTTTCCAGACTCATTTACGTCGCAGGCCGGGAAGGCCACATGCTCAAAGTGCTCTCTTACGTTAGCGTCAAGCGCCTGACTCCAGCCCCCGCCATCATCTTTCACGTGAGTGTGAATCCCGCCACGGCGTCACCAACCTGAAAGGCACAGGGCCCCTCGGTTTGCATGGTGACGTACACCTGTCCTGCTAAGCCCCGTGGTTTTCAGATGACCCAGATTCCTTGACGTGAAACAGATATATCAAAAACCCAAGACAATTCAAACAATCACCCAGCTTCTGCTCCTTTTTCTAAATTTATCCATGAAAGACACTGCTTGACCAGTGGCCCAGAAGAGGGTACAAGCTGGGAGGGTTCAAACTACATAAAAGCCCACCTGCTTACAGGGAAGGCGAATGAGGCATTTACCAGGTGGTCACTGACAACAGCCTCTCATTACGGACTGATGGTTTGGAAGCCGCGGGATCTTTGTGCAGTAAAGGCCCCTGACAGCTTCCGACTGGAGCTTCGCGGTAGATAGTCCGTGGTTGTGTACAGCTTTTCTGGGCTCCAAGAGACCATTCTTAGCCTCGGGGCCAGACTCCATCCCCCAGCCCCAGAGGAGGACCGGCAGACAGCGGCAGGAACAGGCCAGGGCACGCGACCAACGCAGGTCAAAATCGCACTTGAGTGTCGTAGTCGAGGGCCCGTGCCCATGACGAAAACTGTCTGAAAGGAAAATTCGTAATTATGAAGCTGGCACAATGTACACGCATATTTTGTTTTTTCCTTGCTGAAAAATCACAACTTCAACATCCCAAAATTTTCCAGGTCTTTTCTGTCAGGCTTCAAAGAAAACAGCTATCGTAGCCACAGTCAAGTTTGATGGGATTCACAGGAAGTTCCTTTCAGGATAAAGTGTTTAGTCCTCTGTAAAGCGGTAAGAATAGAACAATGGTTTTATGTACTAATGACCTGAACATTCATTCTTCTTTCCATCAGGGCATCGTAGCGATCATTTATATCATCCCTGGTGACATAAACTCACTAGTCAATTATTTCAGTTTTGCTTCGTGGCTATTTTACGGCCTGACGATTCTAGGACTCATCGTGATGCGGTTTACCAGGAAAGAACTGGAGAGGCCCATCCGGGTAAGTTTAGAGCCCCCAAAGTCACAAGTGGCTGTGGTTTTTAAAAATGAACTAGCGGTAACTATTTCAAATACTAGGGGCATGCTTTCTATGCCCACTCCCACTCTTCACTTGCATATCATATTTTAGACTGGAGTTTACGATCTAATTAGACAGTTACTCATTTTACTAAGTTATCAAGAATACCTGTGGCCTCTCTAATGGTCCAGTTCTGTATCTCTCACACGTACACTCTGCATTGATTGGTGGGGACTTCGGAACTGCAGCCCCCTCCAGTGCGTGCAGCCACTAACAGTCCAAACTCGCAGCCTGTTCCGGGCTCCCTCCCCACTCCGTGCACAGCTGGCGCGGGTCTACATACCAGGGAGGAGGAGGGCGAAGTTAAATAACTAAACAACTGTGCTGTTTAATTGTCATGATAACAGACACTCACAGATACAAGAAAGAGTGAGGCAAGCCGAGGGCTTAAGTAACCAGGACAAGAATAAGGATAACGTTTTTAGCTTTAGGATTTTGTTTCAGAAATTTGTCTCGTGTCTTTCTGGCCCTGTATCCTGACCACCACACGTGTCTGCAGTCAGCCATGGGGCAGCCTGCCTGGAGTCCCGCCTCAAGTCACCTCACAGGCAAAATCACGCTGGTAATATACACAATTAGTAGGCACAAAATCCCTGATAAAAACAGTCAGAGCCACTAGGATAGCAAAGGAAAAACCCTACAGCCAACATCTCGAGGAAAAGAGGTACTGCCATCAACTCCAAGTGGAAGCCCCCCAGCCCCACGTTCCCCCACCTCTGAGAGTCTCAGTAGGAAGATCCGGGGACCAGCACTGCAAGGGCCTAAGCTAAGCCCTCTACAGTCGCAGAAACGCCCCACGAAAACTCGTCTCCAGAAGGAAACAACTGCTGGGACGAGAAACCACACAGAACTCGGCAGGAACACTGGGGTCGAGGTGGTGCAGCCCGGGAAGACAGACCCCACCCTGCAGAGGCCATGTGCTGTCAGTATTTCAAAACGTCATTTTAGGGAAAAAAATCAGCAAGAAGGAAAAGAAGGAACTTGAGAGCAAGAAACATGCCAGGAAACTGAGGCCCTGCAGGAAGGAAAAGGAAAAAAAAAATCAAACAAAAATGAATCTAATACATGTATAATTGGAGTCCCTGAAGAACAAAATCAAAGTAACAGAATTTTAAAAACTATTTTCTGGGGTGGGAGGGAAACTGGGAAGTTAGGGCTTGAACCAGCATAGTGAAAGGCATACAAGGTTATTGGGAAATGTGAGTTAGAATAGATAATAAAAACATGTTCTGATAAAACTACAGAGCTTTAAAAAAATGCTTTGGGCATCCACGCCCCTTTTCCTACCTCCAGCCACAATGCACTTATATAAAGGAAAGGAAGGAATATTGGCATCAGACTTTTTACCTCCAACACTTCATGCCACAAGACAGTGGAGCAACATATTGAAGATTTCAGAGAAAGAAAATGTAAGCCAAAGATTTGATACCCAGCCCAAGTCGACAGTCACTGTTATGAAAAACTCAAGGCCTATGTTATTTTACGTGAGAACCTGCTGAGGAATCACCCAGAGAATTTGCTTCAGAAACCAGTAAG